GGCTGCCGACGAACCAACCAACAATCTATCGCTGAACGAATATGCACTAGAAGGAAGTGGAGATGGATTGGGCATACACTGAGAAGGCCGACTGGCCGACCATTCTACACCACTGAATATGAGATTATTGAAACTTTCTTGTTCATTATCTTGCATAAATGGAAACAATGACAAGTTGTAGTAACTATCTTATCATTATTATTTGTCACTTGGGTTCCCACTGGAATATACGGACTCAGTAGCACGTCTTCATTGCAATGGGTTCTCTGAAATCTTTTGAACCTGGTTCCACGATTGCCCAGAAACTCTCATTTCTTCCTCACACCATCTCGTCTCCCTCTCTCACCTAGGACCCCTAACTCTCCATTTCCCATCTGGGTTCCACTTGAGTGCTGACGAGTAAGAATGAAGCAGTTTGTAATATTGGTTATTCACCGATGACCAATTTTTATACTTAATTCAGACCTATAAGTAGTCACTTGTGAGTTGAGTAGCTTACTGCTCAAGTCTTTATTTTCATTACTCAGTTCTACACGTCTCAATCACCAAAGCGACATCAAATTTATCACAATTACAAAGATTTGTTTTTGACCAGTGCCCAAAATCATGTAATCTAAGTCCATAGCCCCCTGGTATTTGGGTTCCAACATATAAAACCGAAATACAATGCATCGTCATATGCTACCACACGGTAAACTTCGTCAATAGATTTCAGTTAGCGCTGAATACCAAGAGCTAGACGACTATCTCAATTACTCACTGGTGACTAATTCGTGAACTTGCTTATATCAAGTAGATTCTGACTTTCAAAGTAGAAATTTTCTCCCTCTGAGCGACAGTTAAAACCAAAGCCGATTTTCTTTGATAAGTTTATATGTATTAATTCTAATCTGAACCATTTCAACAGTCCTCATCCATCAATTCATTTTACATACTAAAATTAAATCAATGATTCGATACATTTTCTTGATATGCTTATGACAACGCAGAGAAGATGGTTGTATGCTGGGGAGTTATTATTGTTATTATTATTATTATTATTAGTCCCTTGGGTTCCTAGTGAAACCAACGGATTCAGTAGCACGTCTCCAGTGAACTCTGTTCTCTGAGATCTTTTGAGCCTGGTTCCACGACAGCCCACAACCTCTCATTTCTTCCTCGCACGACCTCCTCCATGTCATCCTCAGCTGAGACGTCCAACTCGTCGCTTCCCATGGGGATTCCACTCGAGCAACTGGCCTGACGCATGATGTCCCCAGTCGGCCTTCTCAGTGTATGCCCAATCCATCTCCACTTCCTCCTGCATATTTGTTGCGTGATAGGTTCTTGGTTGTTTCGTTCCCAGAGTGAGTTCCTTGTTGCTTATTCTTTCTGGCCGTCTGATCTTCAGTATCGAGCCAGCGTAACCAGTTGTTGATGTATGTCTGTAGTTTATTGGAAATCCCTTTCGTAATGCGCCAAGTATCTGAAGCATACACAAGCACTGACTTGACTGGATTGGTGTTGAAAATCCGGATCATGTTCACACTTTATGCTGAGTGCAGAAGATCTCCACACTGATTTCAGGTTAATGAACGCCTGTCTTGCTTTTCCCATTCTGACTTTGACATCCTCGTCTGTGCCGTCTGTAGTTGAAACAGTGCTTCCTAGGTAGGTGAAGGAGGTTACTTCCTTTAAGTTTCTTCCGTTGATGGTGACTGGAGTTTGTTGTTGTTGGTGCGGTATCTTCATCATCTCCGTCTTCTGTATATTCACTTGAAGTCCCGTCTTCGCTGCCTCTTCTGTCAACTTGTTAGTTTTCGCCTGTAGATCTTCAAGTTTGTGTGACATCAGACACAAGTATAGAAAACTAAAGTCATAGGAAAGTACAGACATATTAGTCCCTCTGAATATATAAACAATTTCCAACCTCAATGGTTCAGAGACTACCCCCACTTTTGTTGTTTTTTTCTACCAAAATTTCAGATGGTTACAACATGAGGATATCATTAGATTATGAAGAAACTGGAATATGATGGTAACTTACTGAATTATATGGAAGTCTGAACGCTAAATAAACAAAGGATTTAACTCGAATCCTCGAGGACGTACATCATCAAGATAACCTTCAATGATGATAACAGGACATGAATGAGGAATATATGTAACTAATTGTCAACATTCCATTGTTTTTCGAAGCAATGAAACTATGCTGCCACGAAAATTACTGTCCGATAAGTAAGAATTACCAATCTCATTCACTTGTTTGACTCTCTCATTATATGAACATTTATCAATCGTCAAATTACTCAAATTTCTGGACAGTTATAATGGCAAGTAAAATCTGGAAAGAGTAAAATCCAAGAGATAAACTCACCTATTCACTTTAAAGTGAACATATTCACAACAATGCAATGCTACAACAGACTTCTCTAGTACTTCATCTAACAGTGAATATATCTCCTTGATAATGCCGCATACCTTAACGTGAACGATATGGGAAACGTATTGCCATTGATCTACAGTTCTTTAAATGTTTATTCCTTAGCACTACAATATCCAATTCTGATAGCGTAAATCTATATTACTGTGAATAGCAACACTTGAATAGATATTCACTTGGATTACATGATTATGTGGAAACTTACAGATTCTCCAAATTATCAGTATGAGTTCTTTCGGTCTCCGAAGCTATAAGCATAAGAATTCATGATAAAATAGACGTTTATCTAGTATAACAGGGCATTGCAAAGACGAATCAAACATGTCGACTGCTTGTAATGGAAATTTGAAATTTTGCGCGACCATGGTGCCATCACTGGTGAAGAAACAAAGTATGATTGAAAACGACCTAAACTTTAACACTTTGTATATGCTGAAAAGTGGTATTTTCTTGTTCATTTCATAACTTGTGGAATGTTCTGATATTCTCGATCGAATTTAATGACCTCCATTACGTATCATTCAGGTCCTGTAAAATCTTGTACATTTTCCAACATATATCAATGTGATGATGCATGTAGCCTGACTTCTCTAATGTTAAATTACTGATATGAGAATAAAATTATTATTATTATTATTATTATTATTATTATAAGGCACACTGTACACAATATCCCAGCTTCGTACCAATGAAATGGAAACGTACTATGATCACGTGCCCGATATTTAGAGTAAGATCTATTTATTCCAAAGAGTGTACGGAAAACGAACTACTGTGTATCCGTGATATTCTAAGTGAAAATGGATATCCCAATAACTTCAGCATAGCTCACACCAACTACATTGGCTCTAAACGTGAACCGATAACAGTGGAGAAGAAGCCTTAGGTTTCTGAGCTTACTATTCATTGCAGATGCTTCAAGTGACATTCTATCACAACGCCTAACTAAACCAGTCAATAGGACGTTTTATGAAGTTTGGCTTTGTATATCATTAAGTAGTCAGTATATTCTGAATCCCAGACTAAAGGATAGCCTACCAAATCTTAGTTCTTCATCTTGCACATATCAACCTAACTGTTCCTGTGGAACTAGTTACATAGGGCGTACAATTGAGCAGGTGTCTCCGGATGCGAGAACATTTACCAGGTTTGTTCGGAAAAGACGAAGTGTAAGTGGGGTGTAGTTCAGTCCCAGCACATCTAGTCGACATAGGGGATCAGACAGATGTTAATAAAGTTTTCAATGCCATTCATCGTATTCCAAAAATCACACCACATTTACCTCACCAATGCCTTCTCAATATAATGGAGGCTGTCGCAATAAGATTGATCAAACCTGAACTCTCCATTGAGAAAGAATATGTCCAAATGTTACTTCTTCCTTGGTATTCAGTAAACTAAAGGTCATTCCTGCCATCTTACTCGTCATCTTTTTATTTCACCGTCATATCATTCTTCTGTATATGTATCATCCCAATACTGATTAATTAAAAAAGGGTAAATCAGTTTCCTTACAATCCCTAAACCCCATTCCATTTTGAAAATGTAACTACACATAACAAAAAAGTGAAGATAGGAGTAAGAAAAGGTTGCCTACTATCACTGATGATCTTCCTGATTGTCATGGACTGGATCATGAAACAGACTGTGAGGAGCGAGACGATGGGTATAGCTGTTTGACTGGTAAAAAGACCCTAGAAGATTTCAGTTTCGCCCATGATGACTTATGTCTATTGTCTTGCGGCACAAACTCGAAGATATACAGGCAAAAACCAACAAGTTGGCAGAGTAGGCAGAGCAGCTAAGATGGGACTTCACTTTAAGTGAACGTAGAGAAGACAGAGGTGATGACGATACCCAACCAACACCACCGCCAACAACAAGCTCCAATCAGGATGAACGGGAGAAATCTAAAGGGAATTGTCTCTTTCACCTACCTAGCTACCTACCTAGACAGAATCGTTTCAACTACAGGGGGCGGCACATGTGAGGATGTCAAACACGGGATCTGAAAGACAGCAAGACAGGCCTTCATCAATTTGAAATCAGTGCGGAGATCTACTACACTGCACTGCATTGCACTCAGTATGTGGAACAAGATCAGGATTTTCAACACCATGTCAGTCAAGTAATTCAGTGCTTCTATGTGTTGCTTGAGAGACTGGGCACCTTACGAAAAGCATTTTCAACAAACTGCAGACACACATGAACAGCTGCCACTTACGATCACTCGATACTGAAGATCAGATTAGAGGGCCAGAAAGAATAAGCAACAAGGAACTCTGACCTGGCAACGAACTAATTCATAACCTATCGCCCAACAAATATGCAGAAGAGGAATTTGGAGATGGATTGGATTGGACATACACTGAGAAGACCATTTGGGGACATCATGCACCAGGCCATAGAGTGAGACCCAAAGAGGAAATGATGAGTTGGGCGTGTGAGGGTGACATGTTGGAGATAGTGTGAGGTGAGCCAGTTTGAAGAGACTGTAGAGCAGAGTATGAAATGGAGACGTGCTGCTGAAGCTCTATGTTCCACTAGGAACCGAAGGGACAAATAATAATAATAATAATAATGATAATAATATTCTTGGTTCAGTTTATTGCTTTTTAATAAAATTATGTTTTACAAAATCTCCTGATACATTTATTGGTTTTCTGTATGAAGTCTGAGCGGATAAAAACTGAGAAAAATAAACAAATGAACAATTTTGAAGTACTTTCACAATTTGAACTGCACAATATTGAGCTAATCTCATCCCTCTTCATGTCATTCTTTTGGGTAATGTGTAGTACTTTCTAAGAATTGACTACTTGTCAGTTGACCATTTTATCTGTATGTGTAGCAGAAACCTGAAATGAATAAATGCTCTTATTATTATGATTTCAAAGTAGTATTCAGTATCAACAGATATTAATTGAAGAATTACTGCATATCTTAGAAGTAGTATTCATCATAGACTAACATCAGTTGGGGAACCATTGAAAATGTGGGAGCACTGGACAGCTGTTTCGTCCAACCAGTATGGAACTGCTCAGTGGCTGAATGGTTAATGCGTTTGCCGTGAAACCTGAAGGTCCTGAGTTCGATCCCTAGCCAGATCGTGGGTGCGTATTGCTGAGGAGTCCCATACTAGTCGGACGAAACAGCTGTCCAGTGCTCATACATTTTCAATGGTTCCCCAACTGATATCAGTCCATGGTGAATACTACTTCTAAAATTAAAAATCCCCATTCATCTCAAAAAAAATATATTGGATATCTGTTTCTTCCTACCAAATGACTCTTCAGTAGTTCACATTCCAATGCAGAAAATTCAGGTTCCTCGGTGAGCATGTTACCACCAAGCTCCTTAGTTGGTTATTTTCAATTTATTGGCTATACAGAATTAAAACTGAGTGCCAGTAAATACCATCCTAGTATCTACTGGAATACCTAAACAGGTGCCACTAGTTTGACTCGGAAGATAATTTTCTCATAAAGTATAGAACTACAATTAATTACTTCAATAGTTGTTAAGGGGAACCTTAGAGACACTCGGTAATGATTCATAACCATTTTTACATAACCATTGAATTATTTAATTGCCTTTTCATTGGTTCAGTTGGAGAAATAAGCATTTGTAGTAGACTGTCTATAAAGGCTACCCTAGTAATGACTAAAATATGAGATTAAACTTCTTTACCTAGTGAAAATCTGCCGTTCCAGCCGAAATAAGAAAATCTCACTAGTTACTTAGGTAGTCCAAGACACTCTTTAGCAAGGCAAACAATAGCATTTTTAATGTAATTGTGCTGTAATTGTCATCTTTACCCATGTCTAAGTTAGTTGGGAGATTGCAATGAGAATAGGCTTGCTACTGGTTCTGGCTGATATCGGTTTTTAACTGTACTTCACTAAAGTAAATAGAATAAATGACTGGAATATAACCATAGAATCCTGTTGTCCTTGAGCGACTCCTAAAAGACCTTGAGGTGACCAGTCAAATTTTTAGGTTGTTTTGGGAAGCTCTGAATTATTTAAAGGGTTGAAAGTAAGTTCTCAGTACTTAATAATCAGTAAAACAGCAAGCAATAAGTAGGGGAACCTCTTTTTAGGATAGGCGCTAAAATAAGGAACTTCTAGCCATTTGTTTGTTGAGTTATGATTCAATTTGCAAATCTATGCATCGTCATCTGATACTCGGTGTCACTGACCTAATATCTATACTTCATGAAAAATTGTGTAGGAGTTCATAATTACGATTTAGACGTGATGCGGGGACGACTTTACGTCGGTATCACAGTTCATGTGTTTTAAATCCATAGTAAAGATGGATAGTGGCTAGCAGTGGAATCCAGGATACGCATCTCTTCCTTCTTGGGACTTGTCAGCTGGATGTACCTGCCTCCCAGTGATTGTTGTTCCCACTGGGATTCGAACGCTGGGCCAACCGCTTCAAACGCCAGAGTGTTATCCACTAGACCATTTCTTGTGCGACGGGTATGGTTTTAGTATTATCACTTGTACTATACCGGGCAATACAGGCAATATCGAGGCATCCGATCAAGAGCTTATATGCAAATAGAGTCCGATCAATTCAGTCCAATCAACGATGGTATCTTACAAGCAATAACACACGTAGTTTAATCTTTTGAAAAAGTATGGATGAATATCTTTATACTTTAACTTTAAGGCGAAAAAAGTAGTTAGAATAAATATGTTCCAAATCACAGTTAAAAAACCACATCTACTGTATATTTCCTTTCATGTTTTATTTATTAAAAAACTAGAAACAAATGACTGTTTTCTTATTCGTGCATTCAAGGTCATTTGGCTGTCACTCAAGGACATCCGGATTTAATGATTCTATCGTGATTGGTGTAAAGTAAGGCTCACTATATTCCCTTTGTTTATATTACCCAAATGAATTATAAAGGTCAAAGTAGCTCTCTTCATGAACTTATATCAATTAGAGAGAACTGATGATATTGCATGATAGTCATACTATATCATGATTTGATGGAAATAAGAAAATATGAATTGCTTGTTGTCAGTCTATCATTATTTATTATTAGTCCCTTGGGTTCCTAATGGAACATAGGGCTTCAGTAGCACGTCTCCATTCCACTATCTTCTCTAAACCTTTTTGAACCTGCCTCCACGACAGCTCACAAGCTCTCTTTTCTTCCCCATGCCATCTCCTCCATGTCACCCTAGCCACCGACACCCAACTCGTCGCTTCCCATCTGGGTTCCACTCGACCAACTGGCCTGGTGCGTGATGTCCCCAGTCTGCCTTCTCAATGTATGCCTAATCCATCTCCACTTCCTCCCAGTGCATATTTGTTCAGCGATAGGTTCTTGCTTCGTAGGTTCGTTGCCAGCCAGCCAGAGTTCCTTGTTGCTTATTCTTTCCGACAATCCATCTGAGCTTCAATAACGAGCCAACGTAGGCAGTTGTTGATGAATGTCTGTAGTTCGTTGGAAATGCTCTTCGTAACGCGCCAAGTCTCTGAGATATATAGAAGTACTGAAATGAGTGGAGTGGTGTTGAAAATCCGTATCTTGTGCAGTAGATCTCCACATTGATTTCAGATTAATGAAGGCAATGTCTTACTGTCTTTTCAACCCTGACTTTGAAGTCCTCATCTGTGTCGCCACCTCCGCCTGTAGTTGAAACGATGTTGTCTAGATAGGTGAAAGAGACAACTTCCTTTACATTTCTCCCGTTCATCCTGATTGGAGCTTGTTGTTGATGTTGTTGTTGTTGGTTGGGTATCTTCATCACCTCTGTCTTCTCTATATTCACTTGAGGTCCCGTTTTCACTGCTCTGACCTGCCTCTTCTGTCAACTTGTTAGTTTTCGCCTGTAGATCTTCAAGTTTGTGTGATATCAGACACAAGTCATCGTTGGCGAAATCCGAATCTATTTCTAGGCTCTTTCCATCGGTCAAGCCAGCGTATCCTCCTCTTCTCACTCCTCACTGTTTGTTGCATGATCCAGTCCAGTCCACTACAATCAGGAATATCATGCGTCATAGTAGGCAACCTTGTTTCACTTCTGTCTTCACTTCACTCCAAAGGTATCACTGAGCTTCTCATTGTGAATTACTTGACATGTGTCGTCATCATGCAGTTGTTTAATGAGGTTGATAAAAGTTTGTGGTATTCGGTAGTGTTGAAGCAGTTGCCAAATTACTTGTCAGTCGACGCCTCAATGGAAGGCCTTTTCAAAGTAGATGAAGTTGTTGTGGAGAGTTGAGTTGACTGTCATTCTATACTCTGTTCTATGATGATGTGCAGCGTAGTGTTGTAATTTGATCCACACATGATTTGTTCTTCCTGAATGCAGCCTGTTCCGGTTGTCGTTTTGAATCCAGTGCATCATTTAATCTGTACAGGATGATGTGCCTTAATATTTTGCTTAAGGTGGACAGGAGCGTGATTTCAATCCATATCTCCGAAATGAATCATCAAACTGTTTAAGATACTTATTGAAACTCCTTTTAAAATGATGAGTAAGCTGTATGATTTTTGTATCATTTATTTATTGATCAAAATTCATTCATTGTCTAATCTCATGAAATGGTTGAATTATTTTAAAAGATGCGGGTAATTCATATGCTCACCCATCTTTGTTGATACATTTAGTTTAAACAACACGTAACATTCAATGAATCAGTGGATATGTAAACGAGATTAAAATGAATGAAACGTGTTATAAATTACACAGTATTGCTTTGATACATACTTAATTATGATTAGCATATAAAGTGAACTTTAGACAAGCAATAGAAAACATTTGCACATGCACATATACACAGATTCATATGTACAACATACCTCACTTTCTAACATACGTTTACGTGCTTCAGTGTATTCAATATATTGTTTAATACGAAATAGTGTATTTAGAAGACAGATTGATGTGATACCAATTGGAAAGGATACTGCGACCAGAATTAGTCCAGTTACTGCAAGCCAGCTGCAAACAGATTCAAAATAATACATTACATGTAGAACGTTCGTGCGTAAGGGTGATCAAATCGCATGCTGGTAATACTCATCGACTCAAGGCAAAATTCACTTCACAACTATGTACACAGTTGTGTAGTAGGTTACGCGTCCCATGTACTACCTAGTTGCTCGATACTCCGTAGTTGGAGCTGAGTTCGAACTCTTGGCCAATCGTTTGGAAACCAAGTACCTAGACTAAGGTATTACAACTGTCAAGTATTTCTTGGTTAAAATCGGTCTTCAATGATGCCTACTTCTAATGATGGAACATCTGAAATAATAAAGCCCTAAATAAAATTTACTCTGAAATGAATACTCTTAGTCGATGGATAGACATTCTGTTGTCAGCTGGAATTCTACTGAAGAGATAAAGTATTATCTTTCACCAACTAAGTGGTTGTAACATTTGAGGGAAAAGTGATGATTAGTACTTGATGGGAGTCAACATTTTATGTCATCAGCCACTTAGGTAGACGTTCTGAATTTTAACCTCAGTTTCATGTTAAGGTGCGGTCAGGAAAAACTTTATTGGACAGTTTATCCTACAGTTGACCAATCATAACATGTTTTGTAAGCTCAATTCAGTAAACTCAGTGAAAACGAGATAAGGAAAAAGCGAAGAGTAAGGAAATTGTCCAAATTGAAATCAAGTCAAAATGTCATATAGTGATATTATAAATATATACCTCTTATTAGAACGAGAACTCTCATGGAAACAAGTTGTAAAGTAGGAGGGGAGGATGAGTACTGTGGAGTTGAGAACAAGAAATGAAGTAGACCAATGTTTAGATAGCTTAATAAGTAATTACAAACTAATGTAACAGAATGTAATGAGTAGAAGTTAGTTGATTAAGACCAGGGTTTAGTATGGGCTGAAAATCCAACGACTGAATGACGATGAAATCAAGTAAATGGGACATTTGAAGATTAGCGATAAATTCCTTTAGAATACACAAGTGTAACTTCAAGAGTTTGATTGTATTGGCTTCAGTGAAGCAAAAAAAACTTGATTTACTCTGTTTATTGATAATCTTAAACGATTTGGAAGCATATGTAAGATATTTCTATGTTGACTAAATACTTAGTACTTGTACTATTCACAATACTTGCTCCTCTCAAAAGTAGGCTGTTAGAGATCTGTTCAAATTATTGAAGTCAAGCTCTTCTTTTCTCAGAATGTAACTGCTTTGGCAGAGATATATGAGTTGATATGTGCAACTGAAGATAGTTTTATGACAGGTACCTGCCACTTGTCAATAGTGGGATACAGAACAGTATTGAGGGTTAGTAGTTCAATTATCTGGAAAATCATTTGTCTCTCTTCAATTAAGGGTACACAGTTTGTTGACCTATGCAACCTAATTCCTAACTGATTCAGACATCAGAAACACGGATCGTTTATCGATGATCCCGTATTCTTATATAGACAGATTTCATTCAGTCAGCTGTTTAGAAAGTGAATAAAACTTTGCCCCCTAGTCCCCCCCCCCAGACGTTAACCCTTACTATGAAAATGAATCATCTAGAACAAGATATGCATTCAGTGAAGAGACTCTTTTCAACGAATTTATTTTCAAGCTGTACATTAGTAGATATATACATGATATTTGAAAAAATATATCGCGTGAGGAAAACTTGACACTATTTGATGATGATGATGATGATGATGACAATAATAATAGAATGTCGTTATTCATCATAGACTGACATCAGTTGGAGGAAACCCTGAAGCACTGGACAGCTGTTCCATCCTAGTATGGGACTCCTAGGCACTGTGAACCCACTACTCCGCGAGGGATTGAACCCGCAACCTTCAGGTTCCGTGACCAGCACGTTACCATAGAGTCACTGGGTCAAAATCCATACTAGGACGAAACAGCTGTCCCGTGCTCCCAGCATTCCATTGTTCCTCCAACTGATGTCAGTCTATGATGAATAACAACTTGAAATATTTCCGAATCCCCAAACTCCTCAAAATTTAATTCAGCTGGTGCTCATCGGTGACTAGCTTCGAGAGGTATCCTCGAAGCTCCAATGAGAAGTCGTGACCGGTGGCGGCAAAGCTTGATGGTCCTGAGGACAGTTACTCAGCGATGATATTAGGTGGCGGTTCCGTTATATGGTAAGCAAACAGAAATTAAAAATATGAAACTATGGATTCTGACCCAGTGGCTAGACCGATGATAACATGCTGGCCAAGGAACAAGAAAATCACGGGTTCGAACACTGGAGGTGCGTGGTCGTCGGTGCCCACTCATGAGGAGTCCCATACTAGGACGAAACGGCTGTCCAGTGCTACCAGCTTCCCAATATTCCACAAAATGATGAAAGTCTACGATAAAAAAAACATGAAAAATTTCCACATCCCCACAACTCCCCTAAATTGTCAGAATGACAAGAAAGTCTCAGCTGGCCAATCTTAAACCAGCTGAAATGGGAAGAAAATTTCCCAATAGTCGAAAAAAGTATACATTCAATCATCCCTATGTTTGATATTTCAAAGGAAAGCGCTATCCCCGGGGCCAAAAGTTCTGTAGCAGGGCATCTAAGCTGTAATAGGAAAATTTATTCAGTCAGATTATCCCTGAATCTTATCACTGCATTCCAACAGGGATTTCGGTATTTCAAGTCCACTGTTTTCCATTGTTGTCATCAATTTACCGATTCGAAAACAAGTTTCAACTAACGATAACATAAGATAGCTAAAATTACTCAAAGATAACAGTGATATTATCATAAGTCGTCCTGATGAAGGAAGAAGCGTCGTCCTAACGAATCGACATGAATATATTGATAAACTTTTGATTATTCTCCATTGTCACAGACTAAGTTGGCTAAACTTGAAGGTGAGACCAACAAGATACAACTCACAAGTATCTTAAGAAACATAAGGGATAAGTCAGTAATTGCTTCCGATTTGTATGAACATATCTAATCTGTTGGTTGCATAATCCACGTCTACATACATAAAGTGGGATCATCTCTTCGTCGAATCTTCGACATGGCTGATGCTTCTTATCATTTTATTGTTATTATTATTATTATTTGTCCCTTGGGTTCCCAGTGGAACATAGAGGCTTCAGCAGTACATCTCCATTTCACTCTCTTCTCTGCAGTCTCTTCAAACTGGCTCCACCACTGCCCATAATCTTTCGTTTCCTCCTCACACCATCTCCTCCATGTCACCATCACACTCTCTGCTCATCGTTCCTCATTTAGATTCCACTCAACGGCCTGATGTGGTTCATGATGTCTCCAACTAGTCTCCTCAGTGTATATTCAATCCAATCCATCTACACCTTCTTCCATATATTTGGTGGACGATAGGTTGTTGGTAGGTTCCTTGTCAAACCAGAGTTTCTCGTTGCTTATTCTTACATAATGGTTAGCTGAAATTCTACTTCATTGTTCACAAGTGGGCCATTCACCGAGATTCCCTCTTATATATGTGACTATGTTGATGTGCATAATTTAGATGCAGATCTGCCAACCAGCTACTTGGAAGAGGTTTTGTTGAGCTGCACATTTAATGTCCAGTTTAGTTTCAATAATAAAATTTATAGACAGAAAGATGGAATTGGAATGGAGTCACCTTTGGTACCATTGCTAGTAGACGTTTTCATGTCGAAACTAGAGAATACTCAACTCTGGCTAACTATTAATCGCTTTGACTTTTATAGAAGATATATGAACGATATGCTTGTTATCTGTGACCGAGTTGCTGATTTAGACGATGTTTTTCGTTCGTTCAATGAATGTCATCCAGCCCTCAAGTTCACCATTGAGAAGGTATCAGAATCAACTATTCCTTTGCTTGGTGCATTTCTCACCAGATTCATTAAAAACACCCATCTACAGAAAAGCACTATGGAACGGATAACCAACTAATTTTCATAGTTAAGTGGCTATCAACAGGAAGAGAAATCTTATTCACTCTCTCTGTTATCGAATAAAAAACTGTAATGATGCAGAGCTGTGGTTTTTTGAAAAGTACACTTATCGGAAACTGTTACTCGTGCCGTTTTATTCCTAAAAATATGCTCGAGAGAAATATCAAACCGGTCATCCATTCGGTCTCAAAGAAAACATTATTCATGACCCTAAAACTTGAGGGTGATCTACCATCAGATGTAGTGAAGAATCGTCGATGTAAATCAATCAATAGAACTTTCTTCACAGTAAGACTTCAATTGACTTTATCAGGCGTTGCCCACTTTTCTGTGCATCTACTAGTTCACCTTGTGGAGCAAGGTACATCGACCGTAGTCAGAGAATGCTTTCTACTCGTATACGAGAACATGTTGTAGCTTGGTTTTATAAAGGTGAAAGAAAGTCTGTTAGAAGTTCTATCCTAGAGCATTCAACTGATTTCCATCAATCAGCAGACTCGAATAATGACTTTAAAATTATTTATCAAATTCTTGGAAACCTCCCATATTTTCTTCGTTTTCAACTTCTTAAAACAGAAGAGGCTTTAGCTATTCATGAACTGAAACCTGATCTGTGTATACAAAAGAAGTATGTACAGTCTCTGTGTTTAGCATGAGCATAACATTTTCCCACCCTCATTAGTTTCCTTTCACTTTGATTAGTTTCTGGTGTTATTTCTTTTAATTGTCTTAATCTGTTTACAAAACATTGATTTCATCTTGACCGACTTGTTGAATCCTATTACGTAATACTTGAAACACGATGATTTTACACAAGATGTTAGATGAACAAGATATGAACATAGCCATAAAGAATTTATTTTCTGAGTAAAACGACAATTTTAAGTTCAAAAATGGTATACATTACAGACTGACATCAGTTGGGGGACAACCTGAAACCTGGGAGCACTGGACAGCTGTTTCGTCATAGCATAGGACTCCTCAGCAGTGCCAACCGATAACTCCATTAGAGATGGAACTCAAGACATTCGAGTTCCATGGTCTGGACATTTAGTGCGACCTCTTTTGAATGCCGTCGATGAGTGACTGCACATCTGATGATTCCCAAAGTGGGATGAAACGAATGTATAAGTTTCCAATAGTTCTTCAGCTGGTGTCATTTCATCATTAAAGTGCTCTATGAACGGGGTTTGAACAGTCACTGATTCTTTGCACACTTTGGATTTAACAGCTAAATTTCTCAATAAACTGATAATCTATACCAATTGACATCTTTGTGATTCATCCTTAAAGTACTTGCCTTAACTAGGCTGTCAAGTCAACAATATATTATCACATGTGTCTGAACGATACTCTTGTTGTTTATTAAAGTATAAATCGTACATTGGTATTATTTAAAGCTTTCAACCAAGCCAACTATAACATGAGTTTTACGATCGCATATGGAAGTGAAAACAAATGGAACTGCTTAAACACATCAGTATACTAAGTAAAATACTTTGTGTCAATCAGTTGTAAACCACGTTTGGTAGGGGCACTGTTCATCAGCGTAGAAAAAAATTATAAGCAAAGGATAAACTGGAAGAGCAGTCATCTACTTTTGAAAATATTTTTAGGAGGAATAGATGCCATTCAAAGTTTATTTTGAAGTATGGAAAGGAATATAGTGAAAAATCCCAACTTCCAACTGTTGAGACGATACCATCTTCTATTCCTCTGGTATTTAAGAGAGATGACACACCAGAAAGCATAGATAGATGAACAGAAAGTCTTCTGAAAAGAAGCTTTCATCTAGATAGGTTCATAAAGATATACAGCCAGAATCAACGTAGAACTAAGCACAAAACTGCGTCACTTCAAGTTGTCATACTTCACAGTAGTATACAAAGAACAAGTGGATAGAAAAGACTGAAATCAAAGCAGATAAAGTTGTATGAGAGAATAAATAAATTGAAAATGAGTGTCACTGAAAACGTTCAAGCTTTAGAAGACGTCAAAGAGTGAATATATTTGCGCTATTGGGATTAATTCCCAGCCACCGTACGAAGAGTCTCCAACCACGTCTTGAACCCTATTCCAATCATATTTAGCTTCCTGTTGAGATAGGCATTGAGGCAGATGGTGATTTGGCATCCACAGTACACGTCCAAGTCATCTCAGTCGATGACTGTTCATAACCTCGTCAATCGACTTGCCTTTCTTGTTTAGTACCCTTTACCTGACCTTGATACCGCTCACACAGTGATTCCTACAGACATGAGCAGTGCCGTGACGACATCTATTATCCGGGAGCTGTGACCGCCTTATGTTTTTTTAAATTTAACTACCATGTCTCACACACGTATAACATGACACAACAGACTACACTGAAGCTCCGTATACTCGTTCATTAACAGATAGTCGGATATTTCGCTGGCATTATATCCCGTCATATCAGTTTATAAGACAATGTGCTCGTTTAGTTAGTTTCAAGTAAATAAATACCCTTCTCACATCACCTCTGACTGTATACACCGACTCACTCGTGTTTAAAAACCCAAGTACTTAAGAAGGACTAAGAGAAAAGCATCTTTTCTCAAGAAATCTGTGTCTAAGAGACAAAAAAGGCTTCACAATTGTAATACCAAAACACCTGATAAAAAGTAGACACCAAAAGAATATCTTCAAGGCCTTCAGAAAAATGCCCAAGTTTGCTATGGTTTACCGAAACTCTTACAATCAAACCTCACCACTGTCATCAAGACAACCAATCAAAATGAGAATCGAGACAATGACAAAACCTTGTCAAAAACAACCAATCACATACAAAGTCATCAAGACAAGTTACTAAATAAATTACGGAGTGAACCTTTATCGTTAACTTCTTTCTGAGGTTTGTACTGATGATGTTGTCTAGAATGATGAGGAAAGCTCCACGATAAAATAATCCAGCTTAGAGAACACAATCCCATCAAGATTATCCTCCTGAACTACAACTGCTTCAACCAACCAAGTCAAAGTTATCATCATGATTATAATTCCTTTTATAATTATCACTATATTTCAAAGCTATTTATATTACAGTCAAGTTGAAAGAAAATCTAAGTGGAAATAATATTGTTCTAATTTATATACTCGGAACTTTTGGCTATTACAGTACTTGAGAGGTATGCTTCGGGAAACACCTTCAACAGAGATAAGAATCTTTTTCACTAGTTTAATTTCATCAAGGTATATATCACACATAATAATAACAGTTAAAATGCCACTAGCATACATGGTGTAGAGCATAACTTACTAATTTTCATCCCTGTAGTACAATGATGGACCATAAGCCAGCTTCAAGGTCATCCCAATGATAATGCATACAACAGCTAGACTACATAGTATTATAGTAGCAATAAGAGTTTGTCGAGTCGTTGGTTTTCTTGCCTCTACAGTTGTTATACTTGTCTCCGATTTATGTTTATCAGTTTTTCGTCTATTAATCATATTTTATCTGTTATAATTGCTAAATAAAACTTGATTACAGTAATGATAGAAAAAAATTAACCATACATTCTAATGTGTACCTAAGTTAGGGTTAGGTCAAGTGACCTTGGTACTAATCATTCATTGGCTAATTGAAGGTAACAGTTTTAAGCATTATATATATATATATATATATATATATATATATGCCACACCCACAACATTGCATATATATATATACATATATATATATATATATATATATATATATATATATATATATGCATACCTATTTAAGTAATGTTGTATGTCTAACTCACTTATCGATTTTTAGAAAGGAAAGACACACACGTTGAGTTACATACATATATATAATGGTAAGACTTGTAGTCAGACGATTAGTTTATTAGTAATGTGAATAGTGTGGATTTTAATTAGCCATAAGTGAGTATTTGGCAAAAGGTGTAGCCATCACGCAAAGAAACTTCAATCACATACACGGTTAAGATAGATAATGTCTCATTAATATAAGTGTAAAATTTGGGAACTGTGGTAAAACTTATTTGCATATTGGGTGTCCGTTTGGTTTATAACAGTGTGATATATTATCATTTGGTTGATGACCGTATTTCGGGCAGAAATTATTCCTCACAATCATATCATCAATGTAATCACACAACATTCATAGTCCTGTCACTTCATATTCTTTGTGCTATAACAGTTGTCCACATATCTCTGGAATAGATGAAGCATCATTCCTATTACATGCGTTGGGTGGGTGTTGATTCGATGAACAAAGATTCAATAGTCAGTCGCTCCCTCTCTCTCTCCTCCTAGTTTTATCGGACTTAAGCATAGTGGCTTTATTCCATCCTTCCATTGCAGGGAATTCGATAGATTAGATGGCTGAATTGGTTCTATCAGATCCTTAAACCAGCCGAAAAAGCTTATCTCTAAGTCAGTTTGTACGTTTATATACCACCCTTACTAATTCCAACCTTGTTGAGGATCCTACTTAGAGGCTTTCAACTTATTTGTACTCATTTTGTCGTTCTTATTCTCATTTGTATCATTGCTATCATCTTGCTTCTTACGTGTTCACAGGGATGGCAGAGGATAATCATTAACTATCGACGCCCCTTTTATGTGCTTCAATTCCTTGTTTATTATTATTATTATTCGTCTCTTGGGTTACTAATGGAACATAGGGCTTCAGTAGCACGTCTCCATTCCACTATCTTCTCTGCTATCTTTTGAACTTCGCATTACGACAGCCCACAAGCTCTCATTTCCTCCTCACACCATCTCCTCCATGTCACCCTAGCCACCGACACCCAACTCGTCGCTTCCATCTGGGTTCCACTCGAGCAACTGGCCTGGTGTGTGATGTCCCTGAATAGTTTTCTCAATGTATGCCCAATCCATCTCCACTTCCTTCTAGTGCATATTTGTTAAGTGATAGAAGCACTGACTTGACATTGGTGTTAAAAAACCGGCTCAAGTTCCACATGCTGAATGCAGAAGATCTCCACACTGGTTTCAGGCTTGTGAACGCCTGTCTTGCTTTGCCGCTTCTGACTTTGACGTCCTCGTTTGTGCCGCCGCCGCCGCCTGTAGTTGAGACGATGCTGCCCAGATAGGTAAAGGAGGCTACTTCCATTAGGTTTCTCCCGTTGATGGTGATTGGAGTTTGTTGTTGTTGGTGGAGTTGTTGGCGCGGTATTTTCATCACCCCTGTCTTCTCTATATTCATTTGAGGTCCTGTCTTCGCTGCCCTGACCTTCCTCTTCTGTCAACTTGTTAGTTTTCGCCTGTAGATCTTCAAGTTTGTGTGACATCAGGCACAAGTCATCGTTGGCGAAATCCAAGTCTTCTAGGTTCTTTTCCGCAGTCCAGCCAGTGTATCCCCCTCTTCTCACTCCCCATTGTTTGCTGCATGATCCAGTCGACCACAATCAGGAATATCATTGGGGATAGTAGACAACCTTGTTTCACTCCTGTCTTCACTTCAAAAGCATCACTGAGCTTCTCATTGTGAATTACTTGGCATGTGTCGTCATCATGTAGTTGTTGAATGAGGCTGATAAAAAGTTTGTAGTATTCCGTAGTATTGAAACAGTTTCCAAATTACCTCTCAGTTGACGCTGTCAAAGGCCTTTTCAAAGTCGATGAAGTTGAGGTAGAGAGCTGATTGCCATTCTATGCTCTGTTCTATGATGGTGCGAAGCGTTGCAATTTGGTCTACACATGATTTGTATTTCCTGAAGCCTGCCTGTTCCAGTCGTAGTTTTGAATCCAGTGCATCTTTAAGCCTCTCCAGGATGATGCGGCTTAATATTTTGCTTGCTTTGGGTGGACAGGAGAGTGATTCCGTGCCAGTTCTTGCAAACACTGAGGTCTCCCTTCTTCGGCAGTTTGACAAGGTAACCCTTCTTCCAATCAATAGGCAGGTACCTTCTCTTCCTTCCACACCTTCTGCAATAGTGGTGTGAGCATGTCCACTGTTGTCTCTGCGTCTGTTCTCAGTGCTTCTGGGGGGATTCCTTTATTTATCTAGTGTATATCGATCGAAAGTCACTCGGGGATGTTCTATCCCATCTACCATATATTACGAATGTACAGCTAACAGAATAAGTTCGTCGAAAAGGGAAATTTCTCCTTCGCTACACTTACTTTCTCTTATTTCCATTGAGGAGTTGTTCTCAATCTTTTCCTCTTGTCTAATGTTTTCTTGATGTCTTTTAAAGCACCAAATGATCATTTTAAAAATCTCTATGATCAATTGAGTCCTCTTGTCTTTCTACATCTTCAGATAATCAAAATTGGTTAAAGGCTAAATTAGTTGATGTTGTTCATCAATTCTTTATAGTCCAGAAACCCAAGACATAGAAGGATTTCGAATTTACAGCATTTCAAATCTTTGAAAGAATTTCAGAATAGATCAGATATAATCATTCTTAAACCTGATAAGGGATCACAGCCTATCAGAAGATCTTAGAAAATTAGAAGCAAAAGTAACCGTCCATTTAGTTGGGCTTTTGAGTATGAATACCATTAGAAAAGAGGAATGTAATTTATTGAAACGTATGCGATCCGAATTTCTAAATTTATATGGATTACCTAGGATTCATAAAGCTAATAGTCATTTACTCCTTATATTGTCTATGTATCGTTCTCCCACACATGAACTAGCGTAATGGTTGGTAAAAATGTTAAATCCACTTCAAAACGAATTCTGTAAGTCTTCATTCAAAGATTTTTTCCGAATTGTTGACTGTCTTAGTAACATGAATATAAAAGACAAGATTATATACTCTTTCAATGTAAATTCCTTATTCACTAGAGTGGCGTTGTCTAAGATTATTAGCATTCTCTGTGACTATATATCTTCCAGAAACGTCCCATTTCCTATTAGTGGAACCTTTTTTGAGGGAGCTATTATTACTGTGTACCGACAAAGTCCACTTCACATTTGAAGGTGAACACTTTCGACAAGTGTAGCTATGGATAGTCCCTTAGGACCTGGTGCGAACTTGACAGACGCAGAGGCCAATCACTAATTGTTCAAACACAATAGCGTAGTCGGATGGAATAGTATATTTGCGAGATCTTGCCAAAATACCGATGCATTCCAACTAACTGGCTAGAGAGTTGATTACGAGCAGTGCAGCTTAACACGTCAGCGTGCCAAATGGCCAGGATGCGTGGCCGGGTGCCTTCATCTTAGCGAGTTCAGTTAAATTATCAAGGTCAGCATCAATGGTGAATTTCGTCAAACCCTAGGCTATTGATTCTGGAGAAGTGTGTGACGCTACAACATCATAGTGATTTGTGATAGGCAAAAGGATATGCCTTGTCTACTAGAAAGACTTAACACCATACAAATTCACATCAGTCGGACTTGTGAGAAAGAGAATAATCATAAGCTGCCATTCCCAGATATACTCCTGAGTCGACGAGAAGATGGTTCAGTAAGACGGTCAGTTTACAGAAAGCCTACATGAACAGGACAATACCTGAATTTTCACAGTTTTTGTCCAATCCAATACAAGCGAGGTCTAGTAAAATGCCTGTTAAATAGGATCTATCGTATCACTACACCAGAGGGGATGGATGAAGATATCAAATTACTGACCAAAGCACTTATGGAAAATGGATATCCAATGAAGTTTATAAACCGTTATAGAGTTCAAGTAGCACCAAAGCCAAATCTATACACGGTCCTTAAGAAAAGTGTCCATATCACTCTACCATACAGAGGGTGATATCAGTCATTAAGGTAACATATTACGCAGCTAATCTTATCATTGTGGAAAAAACAAAAGACATACTTCATTAAAAACCTAGACACTCCATCAGTGATTACGTCACATTCCATTGTGTTTACCAACTTACATGTGTGTGGTCACATATACATACTTAATCGAGTCATGCATGTGAGGGGGGGGGTCGGGGAGAACATGTACCTAAATAGCTTCAAAAACAAATGAAGTGTGAAACGGTGATAAACGCTGGTGGGAGGCGACCCTCTTCATCTATACCTAAACATATCATAGAAACAGATCACAAAATAAATATTCAAACAGCTTTCAAAGTTTTATATAGAAACAGTCAGGGACATATTCTGAAATTAGCGGAGGCCATAGCCCTACAATAACTGAAACCACCTTTATGTGTACAAAAACAATTTGTTCTTACACAACACCTACACCTTAGTAAATCTTGTTTTCTTACCAAGATTAGTACCAACCAGGTCACTTCCTTTTTGTTCGCATCTTTTTTAATTTTAATCCCCTATTGTGATAATTGTTGCATTTGTCCCCCCCCCACTCCTTGGTTTAATATATATTGACTTGACTTGGGCTTCCTAGCTTGGTTGCCACATTGCAAATATGATCGATAGAATTCAATCTGCACTCAAGACTAGACAACATGAAATCGGTTGCACTCCCGTGACCAATCAATACATGTATGCGGGTCCTACAGGAGGTCAGTCGTGGCCCGAATAGCTCAGTGGTAAAGTCGCTGACTATAACACTGAGTGACGCGGGTTCGAATCCCGGGTGGGACATCAGTTCCGTCGAGGTTGCAGATACGCCTTGCTGAAGAGTTCCGAAAAGCATGAAACCTAGGTCCAGGGCTTCCTGCGTTCGCCTCCAACCA